AGAAGTAGGAAAAGTACTTAGAACAAAGCGTGAAGAACCTATCTTCCTCAGCCGCCTCGGCCTCCTTATATAGTATTCTTCCCGCCCGTAGTCATATGACCTAAAGTGGTCACATGTGTGAAACCAAATCATAACAAACTAATCATGTGACCAAAGTGATCACATGCTCAAAACCCATGACCTTATAGCGAGGTCATGTACAAAACTCATAAACCTATCATAACGCAATAAACAAGTCATATGACTCGACTGAGTCATATGCACGAAACCCATAACCTCCTAATGAAGTCATGTACAAAACCTAAATCATATGCGCAAGGCTTACCTGCAAGGCATACTCGCAAGGCATACTTGTCAGGCGCACGTCCCATGACTCATACTTGAGCCATGTGCGAAAGCATCACAAATTCTACACATAACTAATCATATGACCCTAATGAGTCATATGTGTGAAACAATAACGTACCTGTGACTCACAACTATGGGTCACCTGAAAACCCTTTCCTCGCTAAGCCACATTCGTGACAGGACCTTTCAAGGTCTTATCTTTTGATGAGCATACTGAAAACTATACTATCCAGATGGACAGAGGCATGTACCACTGCAATACCACCATTTTCATGCATCGGCTGTCCAAGGCTTCTACCCTAATGACGACCCTAAGTTCTCTGAAAGAACCCATTCTCTACCTGTGCCTATCATCATTGATAAGAAGGATGAATGGAAAGTTGAAAAAATCTGAGACCACTACCTTTGGCATGGAAATGATCAGTTCCTGGTTAAATGGAAAGGTTATCCAATATGCAAAAATAGTTCTGAACCACTAGAGGGGCTGGAGTATGCTCTGGATATGGTGAACAAGTGGTGAGAAGACAACATGCCAAACAATTCTCTAACATGCGCGATTAATTACATCACAATGTGCTGGACACCAACTATGCCGGAAACTGAGTAATGGCAAGTTGAACTTGAAGTCTGAGATAGATTTTAGGTACCATACTTTGAGTGGGAATTTGAAAGCAGTGATGAGGAAATCAAGACTATGGAACAAGTCCTCAATAACCTCACCTAATCACCATTCACCATCTGAATACTATAGCGATATCAAACTATGTAGAACTCAATGGAAGGCTGCGATGACAGCTTGTTGGACTGTTGTTGAACTGCAATGTTAACTAACCTGAAAACTACTTCACTATCCTCTGAGTAGACTACTGCCCTGATTGCAATAACACTTGGATAGACATATAGCATGAATCTGATATTCATGATTATTGTGATCTGCATTTCTTTAAGTCTTGTTGTTTCGTCAGGATGTCTTCTTGTCCCTGGTATGACACTTATGATGAAGAACTTATAGCAGGAAATGAATCCTTTAGTTTCTCAGACTCCACTATTGATATTAATTAGGTTTTATTTGTTTAAACAATTCTTTTATTGTGGGAAATGTAACTGGTACGGGTACTTGGTTATTGGTTTTGTTTATGTTTTGTTTCAAGTATCGCTTTAATACTTGGTTTGTTTTAAGTATTGTTTGATACTTGGTTTTGTTTTATGTTTTGTTTCAAGTATCACTTTGATACTTGGTTTGTTTTAAGTATTGTTTGATACTTGGTTTTATTTTATGTTTTGTTTTAAGTATCGCTTCAATACTGGGTTTGTTTTAAGTATCATTTAAAACTTAGTTATGTTTTATATTTTGTTTTAAGTATCATTTTGATACTTGATTTGTTTTACCAAAGTGTATCGCTTGATACCTTTAATTAGTTTCATTCATACTAAACATCAACAAGATTTGTGTATTTAAAGACAGTGTGTTTCCACGCTGGAAAGGCAGACTTTGACAGACAGTATTTCAATATACTTGGTTGAATGGTTACATCTTTGTTTCTCAGTACACCCTCAAAGCCTCTTTTAGTTCTCAGCTCTTGCCTCCTCTCTGGTAGAGCAGGCCACCTGCCAACTATCATATCATTTACCGATAACTTGACTAGCACTTTGCAAACACATTACAGTGGTTAGTTTTGTCCATGTACAATACTTAAAACAAAACATAAAATATACTAAGTATTAAACCATATTTCAAATAAACCAAGTATTAAATGATACTTAAAACAATACATAAAACAAACTAAGTATCAAATAATCCTTAGAGTAAAATACAAATCCTTAACCAAGTACCTGTACCGGTTACATTTATCATTTACAATCTTACCACTCTCTATTTTGCTATTTTAGTTGCGGATGAGAAAATTCAACCTAGTATAAGTTCTAACAGAGAGAGAGTTCAGATTAAGGATAAGAGTATAACTAACAGTATTTGGTATCTCTACATGATAGAAGTAAGAACTTCAAATAGAGTTACTGTAGATGCGGTTGTAGGTGTTACTGATATTGTTTGATATGTAGAACTAACCTGTAGTTAAATATAGAAATGTTTAAGTATAAGAACATTCTTCTCAATATACTGCAAGTTAAACAGTCACTTTATCTTTCTCTCAGCTTTACTATCTTCTTAGAATAATATCCATTAATATTTTACAACTCTATCCTAATAGTATCCTGAAATCTCTTTAAGTTTTTTGAGATACTTAGGAATAGGTTACAGTCCTGATATGACTCTGGTAGGAAACCATTGTCTTAGAAGGCATAATGGTTAACACACTTCCAATTTCCCTAGATTTATCAGTGTTACCACCTACTATCCTAGGCAGCCAGAACTCAAAGTGTCTGTCTGGCAGTGAAACAGGCTCCATGAAATAGGTCAAGCTTTGGTAAAATGATATTATATTAACTGTTTTAAATATTATAGAATACATTGCTAAGAACACTCAGAAACCACTTACACGAAAGATGCTCAGAATGCAGTGCTTAATCCTAGACCCTAAGAAGCAGTTTTGTTGCTTTCCTTGCCGCTACATCCACCAAGGGGGGGAAAATTTCTGATATCATACTGGACATGCAGCTTGGAGCTCCCGGCGTGTCATAAGAGAGCTGACTTTACTGCTTTAGTTTGCTCTTTTTGTTCGATTTCAGTATGCACTGAACCTTGTTTCAATTTGTTTCGTGAATTCTATGGGTTTGGATTCTATTTCTTATCATACACATTTTTTTCTTTTCTTCTCTCTGTTATGGTGGTTTCTGCTGCATTTCACTTTATTTCTGTCCTTACTATACACTTCCGAGAGGTGTGAATCCATATGGTAGATCCTTTCTTTTTTGAAACCGGCTATATTTTAGCACCACAAGAATGCAGGGTGTAACCTTTTATTTCGAACAACGAAATCAAACGAGTTCGCGAAGTGACACAGGAATAGAAAACTCACATCACCGCCGGGCAAACCCTCACAACAGGGCGATCTGACCATTCCAGCTAAACAACACCATATCGTCCGACTAACAGAAAGACAAAATCACACTTCTCGACTATTACAATTTTCACGGTAGTTAGCGGCGCGGCTAAACAGAATATTCCTCTTCGCGAATGCGCCACTTCTCTTCCTTGGCCTCATTATCAGAGGACTAAATAAATTTCGGGGCCAGAAAGGTTAGTCTTATCGAGAAACTTGTCTCTTACTGCGGGGTACAGTGCCCTGATTTCGCCTAGAGGTGCTCCTTCTTGGTTGCCCGATTGGAAGGCTGCTAGACCCTGCCAGGAAAACAGTCCTTTTGGGGGAGATACTGGTATTGGACTCGAGCAACCGCTCGGGCATTTGGAGGGTTGGGGGGCAAATGTTTGCGGCTCTAGGATGTTCGGTGGATTCCCCCCTCCTTGCTAATAGCTAGACTAATCTAAGCAAGAATATAAGTGATTCTAGCTTTCTCTCAATTAAGGAATTCCCCAGACTTACCGGCGCAACGTCATGACAATGTGATGTCTTGAGATTCTAGTTAGTAGCGACCAATGGCTAGCCGTTTTTTGATCCCAGTCAAATAACATCCAGCCAATCCAAGGTCCCCCCGGATACGCCTCGGCCTGTAAGACTCGGTAGTGGCAGGCGCGCGAGCGTTTTGTGATACCGGTAGGCAATTCCATTTCAGTATTGTGCAGAGCCGGTAGGAGTACAGTACAGTACTCGTACAGTGCAGAGGATGCGACCAGAGTGTCGCACAGAACCTCGCACGGTGCGAGGAAAGGTCTGATGTGGAGTACTGTACTGTACAGTACCGTATTATTGATGTTATCGGAGGATATGTTGGGAAAGTGAAAAAAGAAAAAGAAAAAAAACTGCTGCCGTCTACAGAACCCGTTTTGCCAGCTCTTTTCCGAGACAAGCACTTTGGTTTCTCCGTTTGTCCCCCTTGCACTGTCATCCTGTTGCGCGGTGAGGAAGAAAAGAAGAAAAGGGAGGAAAAATCAGGCCATAAAAGTATTTCCTCCCATGATGCACTCGGTGACCAGGGTGTAATCCGTGAAAATTCCCAATGGGTGGTCGTTTCTGATATGCAGCCAACCCTATTTGATTGTGAAGAGGGGAAATTTCACCATCAATTTACCATTCTTTTACCCTGCGGGAGGCCTTTCTATGACGGTTTGGTCGGCACCACCGTTTTCCCGGATCAACCCCACCCATCTCGGCCAACTTGCAAATAGAGGTGACATGTTTTCGAACGGTGAAGGCATTCTCTGCTCAACTGGGGCCGTCCTGCAAACCAGAACCGGGATATCCGAATCTCATTCTGCCCGACACTTTTCCCCCCCTACCTTGCCTTAATGCACTGAGTCGTGTTGCTGGGCTTGCTTGGTTTTTTTTGTGTTCCGTGATTTTTTCGTGATCTGAGGGGGTAGGTTCCCGCGGTGTATGATACAGTATGTGTGATTTCTTTTCTTGCTCACTGAGGGCATCATATATGCAGTGGAGTGGAGTGTGTAGGGCTTCTAATTTTTTAGCATAAATAAACGGTCACACCTTCAATAGTTGATCAGATAATTCCACCTTTTTTTCGTTAGACTTCAAATCTATTAGCTGCAATTGCCCTTCTAGGATACAGTACTGACAATGGCTCACTTCTACCACTTCAGCTTCCACAGTTCCATCGGGCATCACGGGCCCAAGCGGACCCCCAAACAAAATTCCGAAGAGAAAGCCCCGAAGGTGACCGCTCCCGTCACTCCCGAGACGGCTTCGCAAATCCAAGCGCAGCAGACGACAAAACGCATCCTCCGCCGAGTCGATCTGCGACTTGTTCCCATCCTTTCGCTACTCTATCTGCTGTGCTTCCTCTGCCGACAGAACATTGGAAATGCAAAGACCTACCATATGACATATGACCTGCACTTGACCACACAGCAGTACCAAATTGCATTGACCGCCTTTTTCCTCTCGTACTCCACTTTTGATATTCCATGTAATATCATGCTTAAGAAACTTCGGCCGTCCGTGTGGCTGCCTCTTATGACGCTTTTGAGCGGGGTTATTACTGTTTGCATGGGAGTTGTCAAGAATGCGGATGAATTGATTGTTGTGAGAACGTTTCTGGGAATGACCGAAGTGGGTTCTGCTGGCTCGCCGAGAGTGTGAGTGGTACTGACTCGATTAGTGCGGTTTGTTCCCCGGTGTGGCGTACGTGATAACGATGTGGTATTGCAAGAAAGAAGCGCAATTCCGACAGGCGCTATTCTTCTGCGCGGCCAGGTGACTTCCCCCCCCTGCTCCTCCGGGGGTCAATCGACACCGCTAACAAACACACCTAGTATGGCAGGAGCCTTCGCTGGACTCCTCGCTGTCGGCCTTAGCAAAATGGACGGTTTGGGCGGCCAGGAAGGCTGGCGCTGGATTCTAATAATCGAAGGTCTTTTGACAGTAGGGGTTGCCATATGCGCCTTCTTCATAGTCCTTGACACCCCCGATCGCGCCAAATTCCTAACAAAGGAGGAGAAAGAATTCCTCCTCCGCCGCCTAGAAGTCGACCAATTCGGCGAGGAGGAGGACGAACTCACGGAAGCCGAGAAAGCCCGGATCCACACCGACCTGCCCAAGTCGCAAATATTCAAATCGGTGTTCACGGATTGGCATATCTACGCTCATATCCTCGTCTTCTACGGAATTTCCTGCCCGCTTTACAGCATCTCTCTATGTCTACCTTCCATCGTGCAGGAGTTGGGATACACCTCTGCCCAGGCCAACTTCCTTACCGTACCTATTTACATAACCGCGTGTTTACTATCGCTGCTAACGGCGTACCTTTCGGACAGGACGGGGATGCGCGCGGTTTTTATTGCTATTTCCTATACTACCATGTTTACTGGCTTCCTTATTGCCGCGCTTCGTCCTGGACACTTTCCTGGTCTGGCATACGCTGGCTTGTTCATCGCTGCCTGCGGGGTATATCCGGCATTTCCTGGTATGATCACTTGGTGCAGTAACAACCTAGCATCAAGCGGAAAGAGGGCAATCGCTATGGCGCTACATATCGGCATGGGCTCATTTGGTGGCGCGATGGGCGCAAACTTCTACCGGGTGCAGGACAAACCTTTATATAGATTGGGGCATTGGCTGAACTTGGGATTTGTCTGTGTTGGTGGGGTCGCGATTGCCGTGATCTACTTCAGCTACTACACGGAAAATAAGAGGAGGGAGGGTGTGCGCGCGGGGTTGGTAGAGGAATTGGAGAAGGAGATTGAGAAGGCTGGCAGGGGCAAGGGGGAGGGTGAGAAGCTGAGGAGGGGGTTTGTGGTTAAGAAGGAGGAAAGTCTTGCGTTGGAGGGGGATATGAGCGTTTGGTTTCGGTATATGATGTGATGCGGGGTAGGACGGCTATGTGCATGATTGGCGTTATTCGGCTAACATTTGGGAGTCCTTTCATCCAATACTCCGCCTTGTATTTTTAGAGGCGATATCGTTTAGTAACAGCATAGTAGTCGGGCATTGCATGCGTCAATTAATCCTTGGTACCGTTTGGCACACCGTGGAAATGTGGTCATTCTGGCTTTTATGGAAAATTTGTTCCTGATGAGATATTTTAACATTTGACCTTTTTTTTGGTTATACCTTCATCTGTTGTGTATTGGTGGCCATCAACTATGACTTTTCGTCAGCCCATTTTTTTACAAGTAATCACGGAGTCTCGCTCGTTAAGACTTGGCTTTGTTATCTGTTATTCCGAGGGTAGTCTCTCCTGCGCATGGGATTTAAGGTATACAATAGGAATGATTTATTATGACACTTAGGGTGGGTTGTAGAAGTGCATTGCCCGTGGAATAAACTTCCAATGGCCATCTACGGAACCATGGTCTAGAGTGAAAGGAGGCCTTATCCTAAATTTATCTTAAGGGAAGTCGTGTGTTATGCTATTAAGAACTCGTTTTTTTTGGAGTCTAAACTGCTCTTACCAGCCGTCGATCTAAGGTATCAGGTTCTCTGAGCCTAGCTTTCCTGGTCTAATATAGCTAGTGTATGAAGGGAAATATCAAGATTACCCCAGAAGGTTGTTTCCGGGAATCACTTGGAATCACTTGGTTATATAGCACGGTGGGGAGAGCGAGCTCGTGAGCACCGAAGCACATGCCAGCGAGACCCACCGAATATTGGTCCCTTCTCCTATGTGATATCGCCCACCGTTCAGCTCTACCATGCTCCACCGCAGATTCACTAGAGCCCTATATAAACTCTTCTCCCCTTCTCCCGGCAAGGCCTCACCCACGACTAAAACACCATCCTTCCAATGTCCCAACCTCCCCAAAGCCAAAGCATGACCCCCCGTTCTACCCCCTCGCACCACCCGACCTCATTCCCACCCCCGCCCGACCCACCGCGCACACACACCCGCCCCCCCCTCGGCGAAACCACCACACAGCTCACGCCTGGCAGGCCCCCTACCTACCAGATACTCAGTACCCCGCCAACGGACTCGCCAATCCGGCAGGAGGCTGCGCCCTCATATGATTCCTTCTCCTCCCAGTCCACATCAACGGGTGCCTCTCCTTCCCCATCACCAGAACCGAGGCGGAGAAGGCCTCCACCTCTATTCCACTTAGCCCAACCTTTGGGCCGGCCAACTGACCTACCCACATTCTTGGAAGATATCGAGCGATTGAAGAGGTTGATCGTCAAGGCGAAGAACACCCTGAGAAGAGAAAAGATTGCTATTTTGGAGAGGGAGCTGGTGGGAGGGGAGCACGGGTGGAGGGTTGGGCTTGCTGTGGCGTACTTGGAGGGGTTTTTGAGGGGGGTTAGGTAGTAATTTTTTCCCCCTCCCCTTTCTAGATGGTTTGAGAGTGCGCTTGGGGGCGGTCGGAAGTGATTACTTTGGAAAGATGGAGCAAGATCATGGATTAGCACCCGGTCATGAGAGAACGAGGATCTCTTTATCCTCTTAGGTCCCGCTGTCGCATCTTTCTCCACAAATTCTAGAGTGCCGGTCCCGAGGTGTGTAAGTGCCTTTATCCACTCTTACTGTTCATTCCTCCTTTGTTCCTTCCCCTTTATGGCATGCTGGAAATTCCGGATGTTTGCCGGGAGTCTTATCCGCATTTGCTTTAAACACGTATCGAGAGCATCCCCATCCCCTTTAGCACTATCCAATTCTCCAGTATGATTTGAAAAATTTCCCTCCCCATCTCTTTTTCTCACTATTCCGTATTTATGAGTGATACCCATCTATATGGGTTATGGATAAATATATCAAATTTTTATTTTTTTTACTTTTCTCCTTGCATATCTGTGGTTCATGTTACGCCTAGGCTTCAATCAATCATCAGAACTAGGCTTTCGCTCCTCCGATTCTAGTAGTTTTTTTCACTGTCCGATAGATTGACGGAACAAAGTGACCAGTAGCGCACCTAGTACTTTTTGTTTCTCGCGGGGGACTTCGATAAATACCAAATCCATCAGCCGCCATACCATTCCACACCTCAATCTCGAATTCCAAAATACGTGCCCAAAACCCAACCCAAGAAAAAAATTCACCTTACTGCTAGCAATTGACGAACCCTCCCATTTACGAAGACACGCATTCGTCGAAAGGTATCATAGATTTTTGTGCTCCAAGGTGGAATTTCCATGTGTGAAAAATGCGCAAGTGAGGATGAATTGTGTTGGAGCGCTTTTTTTCACCGTAGCATAATGGGAACTTTTATAGGTGTCTGGGGAGATCTGTCATTGCTAGGCGAAATAGGCGCTCCACATGTGATACCAGGTTCCCCATGGGCGGGGATAGCCGCATCGTAGGCTCGGAGGAATAAATACCGTACATTTCGGGTCAACAGTTTCTATACCATGGCTTGGGCTAGACTGGCAAGCTCTAGGGCGCTTGTGGTATGATATCGTACCCGGGCGGTTGATGGTTGGGGAGGAGATCGGAGTCACTGGGCATCACTCGATCACTAACTGGTTGGTTCGGACAGTAAGCTTACTTTGCCTACAACACGTACGGCATGGCGACTTACGGTAAACCTATCGGACACCGCAAGCAGAGCTAGTACAAAAAAGCCTTTGATCTCGATTGGGGCGTAAGGGGTGAGGAAAGGTTTAAGCATGGCGTAGCGAGGAGAAAAGATACCACAATTTATGTTCCAACAAGACGACCAACTCCGGCCATTGCGAATACCGCAAGAGCATCGTGGTTCCATAATTTAACTTGGTTCCTCCTAGGTAGCCCCCCCCCCGCGCACTAACTTCCTCATAGATCCCAGAACCCCACCGTTACTCAACCTCTTTTGTCAAACCATCCATTAATCTCTGTAGGTTGGAGATCTAAAATCCGCTTGTCGTTAGAAAACTCAATTCATTCGCGCTTTCTCCAATACGAGCTCCTACGGCGAAGGGTGCCGCTCCCTAGCATTAGATTTTATAGTCCCAGATACCGTTTTCCGGCGTTGTACTTTACAGCTGTAATTTATGGAACGGTATGTAGGTTTCATTCGAGCACTAATGTCCCAGGACATGACGAGGTTTTCCCCCGCCCGGCTGAGGAGATTATGTGGGCCGGTGGCGCCCGGATTGGGTATGAGGCAAAATGCCCTGAGACGGGGGGTTGTGGTGGGTAAAAGGGGAAAGGGGGGGGGGTGGAATGTCCCTTCCAGCTCCTCGCAAGTCAATATTGCACAGCGCTGTGAACTGTCCGATTACTCTGGACAAGCTTTGGCAGGTGGAACAGGAGTCAAGTTCACAGTCAAAACGCCCCATACGAGCAGGACGAAAGAGTGTGGACAGTCTCCCAACCTCAACTCAAAACTCACACCACGGAGGTGGTGGCATGTAAGTGTAATATTTATCATACCATGTTCACAATGGAAATCAATCACCATCATTCCTAAGCTAAAAGCTGGCTTTTGTCTCGCTTTCTGCACGTGTCAGAAAAACTTGGGCTTCATATTTTTCTTTTTCTTTATACCTAAACAGCCCTCAGGTCTGTGCCTTACTCTAGAGAAATGCGCATCAAATGCGCAAAGAGGATTCAGAGCTAGAAGGCGACGAAAAAAAGTACACCAGATGGAAGTTTCGAGCCGCACCGAGTTATCTCGGTATAATATAAATTTAGCGTCCCACCGACACCAGACTGCGAATCAGTAGAGACTGGAAAAAGCCTGACTCGGCTACATAAGGAAGTCTGGATAGGGATTTGGAGGTGTGTGTGATAAATGTGTCTATTCCCATCGCATATGCAGTCCCTAGTTAGAATTATCTGTCGATATTCGAGACGCCTTAGGCAGCACACTGAAGCGAATATGATATCGTATGATACAGGAAGACAGTACAGTAGTAGAGAGTATGCCCGCCTTCTTATTTACCATTGCGATGCCAAAACAGTCAAAAAAAAAAAAAAACCACTTGAAGAGCGAGATTCCCTCCTACGAAGATCAATCCCTCCGGAAACTTTCAAGGAACTGTGACTCTACATGGCAAACGGCGTTTCTATCGTATATTCGACGAGGTGGTGTACGAAATATTACCATTTCCTTTGTTTTTTATCATAATTCCTCAACAGATTAGAAGACCCGTAGGTTATCAGGCTCTTTGGGGGCTTTTATTTTATTTTTACTAGGATGATACAGCACTTGTCTTACGCTAATAGTCTTGTGAGCGGGGCAGATTTGGGGTAGCCACTCTGCCCGCCGCACAATAGAACAAACCACACCAGACCCCTTGCTGAGACAAGTACGGACCACTCGCTGGTGTCAAAAACGGGGATACTCAGAAATCTAAGGTTAGGGTTTTGTTTCACACTGGGGGCCTCTAGTGATGGGATATAGCGGCACCAGCAACAGCGTTGACGGTCTATAAGAGAAACAGATGGCGACAACTTGGTGTTGTTGAGAGAATTTAGTGGGGGGGGGATAAACTGACGGCTTGCGAATATGTAAGACGAGCGGCTCAAAGTTTAATGTCTATTCCTACCCATTTTCCTGCAACGCCCCGTACCATGCACCACCACTCAGAAAAGATAAGACAAATATTAAGGCGGAATATTGAATAACGGGAAAGGAGATTATATGTACCAAATCTAACGGGGGGTCTAAGAAAGGAAAAAGCAAATCAAAGAAAACGAACAAAGGTAGATGGATAGCAAATGGCGAGTCGAAACAGGAAAAAAAAATACACCCTCCAGCAGGGTCTGTTAACAATACTAGGCAATTACTTATAGTACGAGAATATTTCAGGTAATGAAGAAGGAAGAATGTAAACGAGAAAAGCCAAAAGACAAGCGAAAAAGGCCATGGTAAAATACCGGTCTAACGGTCGACCGCGGGTCGGGGAATCGATGGAGTGTTGCTGGGTTAAGTGCCGGCTTTCCTAGGAAG